TTCTCCTTTTTCCTCCCCTTCATATGAAGAATGATACTCGATTTATAGATTTTTTTGAGATAAATATTTGATAATTTAAGCAAAAATTCAAAACACTTAATCGTACAATCCATAATGATTCACTTAATAATATATATTTTTTTTCAGCTTTTAAATGCCTTAATGATGTTAGAATTGAGTGATCTTGGTTCGTTGGATTTTTCTCGCAAAGCCGATCAATTCTACAATATGCATGTCAAATTTGGATTTCAATTAATCATTATTTTAATTTCAACAATTTTTAATTCAATATTTACCTCGAATGTTGTGCTGATCATATGATTTTTTGTAAAGCCATATCAATATTATATTGAACTTAGCTATATGTGACCTTTCTTATTACCTAATATAGCAATTTTCAATTATTTTTTATAGCAATTTTCAGTTATAGTTATATTAATTTTACCTTTTAGGCTTTTACTCATATCAATATTTTCTCATTGTATATCATATTTTAATTATTTTTGTCGTTTTAGTGACCAATTATTTACTTTAAACTAATAGTATCATTCATAATATCACACTTCTATATTAATTAAATTTCTGATAATAGTAACTTATAAACATTATTTTTATCCCATTAATTTTGAATATATGCACTAAATCATCACTAATTGTAGCACGTGCAAATATTCAAAATTTCAAAAAAATGATATAAAATAGTTACATAAATATATAAGAATCATACCTTAAGCAATAATTTTATGCATTTACACCTAATTATTTATTTTTATTTATAAGACATCCTAATTATATATATATGTATATATAATTTAAAATATAAAATATTAGTTAATAAGTATTTGAAGTGGTGCTTAGTTAACGAGGCCGAAATACAGAATACAGGCCCAAATGGGCTTCGTAAAATCCTTTTCAATAATGGATCACACAATTTGGGCCTCTTTTCGGCTAACACAGGAAAGCAAATTTAGTAATAGGTACTGGCTTACTGCTCATCATTAAGATTTTTTTTTGGAAAATTTTCTACTATTTTTTAGTACAAAATTTTTGTATCTTAAAATTATTTTAAAAATTAGCAAAAACATTTCCAAAACGAAATCTAAGATTTCATTTGGTGAGCAATAAATATTACTAAATCTCTTATTGTTTGTTAAAGACAACTTTATTAGTGATTTTTAAACAATTTTTTAGTCGTAAATAGATTTAGTAATACTTACTACTCACCATTAAGTTAGTTAATACTGTTTTGAATATTAATCACCTTTCTAATGATGTACATATTTATTAATTAATTTATAACATTTTACCCATAAAAAATTATAATATCAAATCACCAAATAAATTCATATGACCTTATTTTTGGCTATGTTAAGGATTGCACCATTCACTATCTTCATAATCACTATAGTAAAAAAATGAGTTTTAATAGTAATTTTAACTTATATGTGGAAAAATGTTATGATTGTCACTCACTAAAATGTTCTTTAATAGCGATTTTGTAAAAAAATTGAGAAATTCAAACCATCAACCTATAAGTCGAGAATGATCCTAATGTCTTAGAGAGCAAGTATCACAATTTTCATAGGTATGTGAAAGATATATGTTTGTGAGCACCAGCATTCGACGAGTATTGTTAATAGATGATAGTCTAGGCATATGAATTATAGATGTTCTAAACTTGCAACACTTGTTATATAAATAGCCTAAATGAAGTTGGGGCACTGAACTGATCACTTTCTTGCCAAGTATAGTTTACTGACATTTTATGATTTGAATGCAAATAATTTCACATTAAATGAATATTTTAAAGAATGTTAGAGTTAGTATTAAATATGATTTATGGATGCGCCACTTGATAAGAATCCTATAATTGGGCCATACTTAGTTGAACCTCGTGTGGTGATGCATCTATAGTGATGACTATATATTTGGCATTACCTCTTTGAGCTCTTCATAGTTTGCTTGTGCTTCCTTGATTTGTCATATTTGATAACTTGGAGATTGAAATTTTCATATTTATTTATGAAGTTATGTGGCTTTCAGTTAGAATGTGTAATTCATAGTCATATGAGAATTGTTATTTATAGGAGGAGGAGAGAGATTTTGTGAATGAGTTATGAAATGCTAATGTGATGTGTTGATGTAACATATTATGATATAAACCAAAATTGAATACCCTTTTAATGGGATAAATTGAGGAATGATAGATAGGCTCATCCATTGTATCAATTCACTTTTAGTGCACAGAGGATGACAAAGGGGGGCACATATTGTACTAGTAAGGCAAGATGACAAGCATGCTAATAATGATCCTAGCTTTTTTGTTTATTATTTAAGGGATTTGGGTATGGTTCAAAAATCACTATTAAAGTTTTCTGAAAACCATACTCGATCTCATGCAACCCTGTTTCATCCACAAAAAAAGGGTGAAGAATACCAAGTTGATGTTATGTCGGGCGGTGAACTCATCATATATGATGAGTTTGCATTGACACACTTCAGAGGTCACAATAAAATAATTCAAGTTCTCATTATAGCCAAATATGCTAAACGGAAATAGCACATCATGCACTAATTAAATATTGACAACATTATAAAAAAGTACATTTAATATGTTAGTTCCCATGAAGCAATAGATTTATAGCCACACATGTCAAATGATGATGACACATGTGGTCATAATTTTAGAGTCCTATTAACCCCACTCATTTTGTATGTTAGGATTAAACTCGTTGAGGGCAACTACAGTGGAATGATTGTAACATATTATGAATTCATCACATAGACTTTTGTTATGACAACAACCAAGTCATCAATGTAGTTAATTTGGTTGTAATATATCTGTCATTTTAAGATTCTTACTTGCACATTATTTGAACTTAACAAGGAAACATTCACTATGCTTGCAGGCCCATCAACCCAATGTCTCATTAATTCAACCAGAGCACTTTAAGAGTACATGAACATGCATCGATGCAATTTTCAAGTATCAATGTTGAACATAAATTAAAAACTACATGAAGAAGGTATGACTAAAGGTGATGGTTATGCTTACACAATCAAAGATACTATCTTGAACATAGAGTCTGAAATTAGTGATAGTGAGGGCTACTATAGTGCAAGAATTGAGGAGGCATTCTATTTGATGGGTCATTTGATACTCTATGATAGGACGTTCAAATGGACATATATGTCAAGCCAGATGGTGTCGATTAATGACTTTATCCAATATTGTGAAAATGCTCAAGAATAGGATGCATATATAATTTTTGATGATCTAATAGAACATCAAACACTTAATTTAATCCATGGCATGTGTTTTCAAAATAAACCAAACATACAAGTAATAATTAATACCAGGGGTGTAAATATTTGACATGGCCTAAAACTTGACCTGGACCCGACCCAAAAAATTATGGGTTATGGTCAACTAATTGTCAAACATGTCAGTTTTGGGTTGAAAATTGTGGCATGCTTCTAAAATCAGGTCGGGTTCAGGTTGGCCCGACAACCTGAAATCAATCGAAGTTAACTCGGGTTCGGGTTGGCTCGACGATCCTGCCTTCTATTAGTTTCATGCTACACCGCCCGTCGTGTGAGATCTCGTTCCCTTACTGTTCCTCTATGAATTGGATTTTCCTCCCAGGATCGGCCGGGATGATATTGAGATCGTCCAGGCCGATCAGTGCATTGAAAACAGCTGATTTCTGGAGTGTTTTCTGGAATGATTTATGAACTGGATCGTCCAGGCCGATTTTGGGATCGTCCTGGGACGATCAGTGCTTGGCAAAATCCCGAGAACAAGGGTTTTTGACAAATTAATTATCGGCCTAATCTGGGTTGAATTTTCTAACCCGTTTATAAAATCAGGTCGGGTTAGGGTCAACCTGTTTAAATTCAGGTTCGACCCAAACCCGACTTATGAACCCGTTTTGACACCCGTAATTACTACAAGGTCTATTCATAATATTGTCTAGTATAGAAAAGCATCATCAAATAAATATAAATCAAACATGTGATGTAATGATGCATCACATCCCTATGATTGTTATGTGCATGCAATAAAAAACAAATGATTGGGAGGTTCTTGACATATATTCACAATCAAAGGTTACTAGCCGTACAAAGTCAAAGTTTAATGTATGTTTCTAGTATATAAAGGAATGGGATGCGAAGAGGAAAGCTATATGATTAAAAATACTTCTGCAGGGTTACAATGCATTCTCATGGCCTCCACAAATAGGACAACTTATCACAAACCATCCTAAGATGCATACAACAATGGTATGACTCATTAGACTACACTTACATTTTATAAGATTGGATAACATCTCACTAATTACTTTTTGATGATTATTGTCAGCTCCAACAAAAGGTTGACGATCCCTCAATAGTAATATTAAAATTATTACACATGATAGTCTCAAAAAAAAAAAAAAAAAAAAAAAAAAAAAAAAAAAAAAAAAAAAAAAAAAAAAAAAAAAAAAAAAAAACAAAAAAAAAAAAAAAAAAAAAAAACAAAATGGTTTGTAGTCAATTTTGATGGTTTCATTCTTCTTATCGATTTCTTTTCAATAGATGTTTACGATTCTAACATTCTGTACAATTATGACATATTTCACTATAGACTATCAAGTCGGTTGAAGATGGGCCTTTCATGTGTCAAGCTTAAACCAATCAAAGACGAATCAAATGCTATCGTAAGCATCAAGATTATCATGACTTGAAATATTAAGAATATATGTTGTCTTATAAATTTCATTTAGCCATAACAAATTGTCTTGAGTTTTTCTTATAATCATCTTTATTCAATTCCTCATAGTTGCAAAATTGTAATAAAAAAATTTCATGTTAGTGTTATAATTTATAAAAGCTATATTTATTTGAAGTTAACAAAATTTGAACTTGGTTATTTCTTTTATTAAAAAATTCATTTTTAAATTCGACCAATATTTTTTTTAATAAATTAATTACCATGTCTCATCCCAAGATGAAAGTTTCCTTTCGGTGATCTTCCGTAGTAAAGCTCGTCAAAAAGAAGATCATAGTAAACATAATTCAGCGTCAGACCCGAAGTCTGTGTACCTCCAATCGACGATGGCAGCGATGGCGGAGGACGATGTACGGCTTGAAGTGGAGGCAGTGCAGTCCGTCTATGGCGATGATAGCCAAATAATTTGCGAGTTTCCGCCGCATCTCACAGTCCATATCAAGCCGCGCACAGCCGACGACTCGTCGCAGCAGGTATCCCCCCTTCAACTTCGTTGGCGATTTAGATTCTAGTGTTTTGATCTACTTCCCATATTAATGATTTTAGTGTTGATAGAGTTTTGAATAGTTAGGTTTTGAATAGATGGACTTTTCGTCTCTCTGCTGCTCCAAGCATCAATATGAAGCATAGATGTGATGTATTTTATTAATTGATTTTAATTTGATTTAGTTTTTACCATATTGATCTTGGTTGAATAAAAAGAAAAAAATTCTCAGCTAGTTAATGTTCATAGTTGTTGCCTTTGTCATCAATATAGCTTCCTGTGTACCGAAGTGCCCAACTTCGAAGTTATTTTTTTATGAATTTTGACATGGTGCTTTGCTTGCTTGCAGTTTGTAGAAACGACCATTGGAATAAAAGCAAGTACCAAGGTATTAGTTGAAATCAGTTCAATGCAATGCATTTCTACGTGATATATCACTTTTACATGGAATCTTTGACAAGGTTTGATTATTGGTTAGCATTTGATGGTAACCATGAATGGGAGAAATGGTTAGCAAACTTGTTTTGTAATTTTTTTTTAATCCTAACAATTTTGGTTAGTTTTTGTTGATTCTTGCAAATTAATTGTTGTCACACCAGTTGTTTGGTTTGCCAAAAAAAGGAATGTAGAGTAAAAGAAATGCAACATATTTAAAATATTTTAGAGTTGTTTGGATGAGTGCAAAATATATGTATTTAATTATTTTTTGTTTGGTTTGAAATAAAATGTTGTGTAAAACCTAACAATGTTGGTGGCTAGTGGCCATTGACTAGCGGCCACAATGCCACACAATTTACAATGTATTTAAAACTTGGCCAAATTTAACAATTTTCAAATACATAAAAAATGAATAGTTGTTGAATTACAAAAACTTCAGAATCTTACTTTGCATTTCTTTTACTTCAAACCAAGCACCAATATTTTCAAAACCCTTGCATTTAGAATACCTTACACTCATTTTACTTCAAACCAAACAGTCTCATGATGTAATATTGCAAAATCTATAGAAAATTTGACATTACATATAATCTTTTATAAATGGAATGCAGGATTACCTTTAAGGTTGCTTTTTCATTGCTCGCTAAGTTGTCCAAATTTTACTTGTTGCCCTTTTTGTTTATATATTTTACCATGGTTGAAAGCAAATGATTCAAATCATTGCTTCTACGGTTTTTACTTTTCATGCCATGTGAGTAGATATACATTCAATTGCATCATTTTTCTATCCTTTAATGGCATGTGACTTCCATACTTCGGCAGTATCCCGAGGAACCTCCTCACATATATATTACTTATATGAAAGGAATGGATGATGGTCGCCAGGCTCATTTGATTACTAGCATACGAAAAAGGGCCGAGGAACTCTCTTCATTCCCAATGCTTGTGGCGCTTTGTGAGGTATTTGTTTTCTCAAGTTTCATCTTCCTAAACATGTTATTACCTTAAATCTTAAGTGCTATTGAAAGGTGATTATTCAACTAATGTTATGCTAATACACTATAGATGTTACATGTTTGCATAATATTACCATTTATGCGTACCTCATCACTCAACATTCTGTTGTTTATTCACACATGCTAGTATTTCGTGAACCATGATCATTGAATAGAATGTCTAGCTTAATATTACTAAATTTCATAGAACACTTGAATTTGGCTATAGACGGGCTAGGAAATTGATATTTGCATACAATCAAGTCTCATAATAGAGATGCATGTTAAAAGGTGATATGGAGTTGTTATGCAGCAATATTGGGCCATCAACAGTCTCTTAGTAGTTTTTCTTGTAAAACAATTGCATGCATGCCTGCACATGCATTCAAATGTTCATATTTTAACATATATACTTGTCAATGATGTGGCACTTGTGGTGCGCCAAATTATGTGAGATTATTTTTGTACTATTGTACTTGGTTATTATTTAATAAGCTATAAACTTTCTTGATAGAAATTTATATAATGACTTTGGGGTTCCTTATGGGAGAATGATGAAGATGGAGTAAATGTGTTAGAAAAGGAGATCAAAGAGCTACCAGGAAGGAACTTTATAAAGTGGGAGTGAAGAGGGGAAGAATACCTTGGTTGAGAAAGAGAGGGGAGGATATCCAAGTAAGGGAGATAGTGGTTAATGGTTGAGAAATCTCAAATGATATCTTATATTATTATCAAACATCTCGAAACCTTAAAGAACTGTTGACATAAAAAATACCAACATTTGTTTTTGGATTTGACTATTTTAAGTTTTCCTTCAAATACTAAACAATCTCAGTCATTTGAACTTGATTAAGTCATACCCCTTGCTTAGACATCTAGCCTATTCCTAGAAATGCTTCAAATATCTCCTCCTTATCAAATTTAATCTCGATGCCAATCTGTTAGCTCATATAATAGGTTCAATCCTAATTTCTCCTAGCTAGAAATAATACCACAGCCTTTAGCTTAGGCTGAATAATACTTTGTTTTATGATGACTATTGTACCTTTGGGACACAACAAGTACAACAACAACAACAACATCAAGCCTTTATCCTACTACGTGGGGATGGCTACATGAATCCTTTTTCTCCATTGTGTCCTATTAAAAGTCAAATTCTCGTTTAAATCTAATAAAGAAAGGTCATTCCTAATATTTTCTAACCAAGTCTTTTTAGGTCTACCCCTACCTTTCTTAACATAAGTCAAATCTAATACCTCTACTCTCCTAACCGGGTCATCGCAAGGCCGCCGTTTTATGTGACCAAACCATCTAAGACGACTTTCTCTAATCTTATCTTCTACTGGAGCTACTCCAACCTTTTCACGTATATGCTCATTTCGTATCCTATCTCTAAGGGTAAAGCCACTCATCCACCTGAGCATCCTCATCTCTGCCACACTTAACTTAGTATTATGCTTCTCTTTTAAAGGCCAACATTCGGCACCATAAAGCATTGCAGGCCTCACTACCATCTTATAGAATTTTCCCTTAAGTTTGAGGGGTACATTTCTATCACATAACAAGCCCGATGCATTCCTCCACTTCAACCATCCAACTTGAATTCTGCTGATAATATCCCCATCTATTTCACCATCACTCTGAACAATAGATCCAAGATATCTAAAACGTGTACTTTGGGACACAACAAGTAATGGAAGAAAAAAGTCTTTTCGATTCCATTTCGTTTTATTTGAGTTTGTCTAATGGTCAATCTAAAATCAGATTTTATTGACTATATTCATAACCTAATTAATCATTAAACATGTTAGTTCTTAGTCTCATAGTACACATTTTAGGTGCACACCGAGTTATCTCAATTTTTGGTCAATGCAAAAAATTCCACTTTCTTGAGCTTGCCTAAAAAATAGACATTCATTGTTGCATCCGACTTGACGAGGCATTTCAAATGAGCACACATTTGAAAATCTAAATTTTTTTTTACCTGATGTGCTTTCGAAGAGCTAAACTAAACTCCACTTTTGGGGCCTTGTCTTGAAAAACGGATGTTCACTGTTACGTCTGATTTGATGAGATAGTTCAAATGAGCATGTGTTTGAAAATCTCAAGTTTTTGCACATGATGAGCTTCCGCTGCGAAGAACTCCACTTCTGGGGCCTCATCTAAAAAAATGGGCATTCACCATTATCCGATTTGATAAAATAGTTTAAATGAGCATATATTTGAAAATATCAAATTTTCGTTCTTGACGAGCTTTGGTGTGTAAAATTCCGGTTTTGAGATCTCATCTCAAAAATCAGACATTAACACATTAAATTTTGATTTGCATGTGCTTGTCTCAAAATGTGTATTAGTTGTCTTGAAATATATGTCACTAAAACATTTAAATTAACTCTAATTAATAAAAATTTAACTATATTAAATATTTAAAAATACATACAATATTAGCAAATGAAAAATATCTTTATTAATACAAAATAAAGAAATCCTAATTCTTATACGTTTCTCTTTCCCCAACTCAATTTTTCTTGACATTGATTTGGCCTAAAAGGCCACCTCATATATTCTTTCTCCTTCCAATTCTCTCCCCCCCAATCTCCCCCCCCCCCCCCCCTCCAAAAAAAAAAGTCACTTTCTTTAATTAATCTGCCAAGTGTTTCCTATCAAAATATGTATAGCTGCTTGAGGAAAAGACAAAAAAATCCATTTTTATCTTTTGTCCAAGGCTGCAACTTATTTTTCCTCCAAGCCTGTAACACCTTAAATATAAATACTCTTATTTAGCAGAATTCACTGGCATGTCGCTCTCCCCAAAATTTTCGAGTGCTCTTGACATCAAAGCCCAAAATGGCGATGGGAGCTCAAAGAAAATATTGCAGATGATAATTTTGATAGCACGTGAAGGTGAATGTAAAATTTAGAGCTATAAATTAAGCACTTTAAGGAATGAGGAATCTAGAAAAAATATCAATTTCCAAAAATTCCTCTATTTTCTATTAAGAAAACATTAAAAGGTTGTTTTAAGTACTTTATCAATCAAATGAATTAAAAATTTCTCATACTCTTTGAAGAGATTAAATTAAGACTCTTGAACGAGCTCAATTAAGACTCTTGAACAAGCTCAATAAATATTAAAATAATTAAATCATATTATAATTGAAATTTTTAAAAGTGAATATATAATTACCTCAATTAAGACTCTTGAACAGGCTCGATTAAAGAGATATAAAGTGCGGTAAGAAGCTTGATTAATCATTAATATGAATATAAAAATATGTATATTATAAATATAAATATATGGACATTAAATTATTTACAAAATTTTAAAAAAGATATAATATAAATATAATTCATAAGAAGAATAATATTTAATATAATATATAAATTTATAACATTAAAAAATTATATTATTATTTTTTATAATATACATTATAACAAATTTATAATACACATTAAAAAAATTTAGATCTCTCTCTCACATACCCATGAATGCATGCTCTTGTAGTTTACAACGAAAGTCATCAAATATGCTCCAAAAATAATGGTTAATGTCCGTTTTAAGTCATTTGATGCTTTCCTGGCTTTGTAATATGAAAATCATAGACATTTTTTTTTCATGCAATCAATACCATTGGTTGAAAATTGTCCATGCACTTAGTAGTCTTAAACTTGTTGATCATGTTCGTCTTAATAGTGTACTTGCTAAACACGAGCAGTTTTTTTTTTCTCTCGTCAACAAACTATAGCTTATTCATACTTACTGTGATAATCAACTAATCGAACTGCATAAGACCCTGGCTTATTTGTCTTCGACTTGCTTACACCCTTAATTCTGACATTATGTTCATCTATAGCATTACTTCTACTCCCAATAAAGTGGGGTGATTTGTGAATGAGACTCTGGCAGTTTTAAACCGAGAACTATCTGTTGACGTTTCCATTATTTAATATAAGTCATGTAAATGCAGAGAATTTTAGGTCACTCTAGATGCTACTTGGACTTCTGACTTTAGGGAGATGTGATCTTCATTGTTTTTTGGTGGTGCATATCTAATTAATCCAGTTTTTAGGAAGCGGTGGATCTTCTTACAAATATGAACCATCCTGAAGGAGATTGTCCTTTGTGTTTATACCCTTTGCTTTCACATGATAGATCCGGTGCTTCTTTGCCCTTTATGAAGTTGATGTCTTGCTATCACTGTTTCCACTGGTTAGTAGATCTGTTTTTCTTGGGATTTACGTGTGAAGTAATAATTATAGCTTGATTTATTTAAATCGTCTCTTAGTGAATGCATGATACGTTTCTGGATGTGGACCCAAGATAAAAATGAAACCAAAGAAATGAACCAGACATTGGAAACTGCTCCTGCGTCAGTTGAAGTTCAAAGAGGTATTTCTGCTGCTTGATAAGCAATTTAATGTCTTAAAAATTTATTTCTATATTCTTTTTCAGTGGTTTGCATCTATTCCATGCTTACAATTATAATAAAAGCTTTGTGTGTTCAATGCTGAGGAAATTGCATTTACATTAATGAGCAATAGTTAAATAGGAAACCTTATGTAGTTGCTAGTTCTTGCATTCAGGGTATTGCTCCTTGCATGTTCCTTTGCAAGTGTTCCACCTTCATAAAGTTTGTTACACCTCATTGGTAAGTTGAACATGTAAAGTTTAACGAAGATAGATTTGCATTCCTTTTTTGCCCTTTCAGGATTTGGTATGATTCTGGCCATATCTTGACAAACCCTGAGAAGCTTACAGAACTTTTTTGTTTCACTTTCCACTTTCCTAGAGAGAAGTCATACATCATGGTCTTAGAAGTCCTATTTAGAATGTGAATAGAATGAATGGCTTTCTATTATGGTCGCTGAAAATTAAATGATGTTGATGCTGGCATGTCTCAACATAATATGCTGGGTAGTGCTGACCTTTATAGTTGTAAAAGCCAAATCAATTGATGAAATTGGTATCAGTTTCATATCTTATTTTGGTTGTAATTTTGAGTGTTTGTCATAATGCAGGGAAACTGTTGCTTACAATAATGAAAATTTATATTTATCCAACAAAGTGATGATTAGGAGGTGATTATCTATTCAAACTTAGTTGGGATTGTTCAAAGTCTCTGGCTTGAAGACTTATGTTAAGGTACTTTCATGGCAAATTGTTCAAACTTAAAACTTCTCAGAAAGGTTTGAGAAGTTTTTCACTTTTTTTCTTTAGGGTTGTTTGGTTGGAGGGGTTTTGTGTGTATTTGGTAGGAAGTGGATGTAATTTCAGCAAAACCAAAGAACGACACAAGAAATTTAGGAAGAAGAACACACAAGAACTCTTTTTTATTGAATGAACTAAGAAGAAAAGCAGAGGATACAGTTGGATCTTCAATTGGAGAGGAAGATCCGGCTCTCCCAAATCCATAGCCGTCGGCTAGAGCCCACTCAATCAAAGCAAAACTAATTCCAGGAAAATCAAGCCTAATCTGAAATCACCTCATAGTTAGCCTTAAATAGGCTCCTCCTATTCTCTCCCAAACCAGCCATATTTCCTTAAATAATTCCCTCTTATATTTGAATTTAAATTAGATCTCTTTCCCTAATTAATTCATTAACAATTGTAATTAAAACTTTAAAAAAATTGTAATTAAAACTTTTATAAACAATTCCCCATTGATTCCTCCTTAAATAATGAACATTAACTCTCATGGGCTTTCCCTAGATAGTTCCCTCTCAGATTTGAATTTAAATTAGATTTCTTTTTCTAATTAATTCCCTCACAATTGTAATTAAAACTTTCCTAAACAATTCCTCTATTTTCTTGCCTTCCCGCCCACCCTCATTTTTTTTTTATAAAATATTCAGGTTGTTGGTAACTTAACTGTTAATTTAGTTTCACACGGTTGTTAGATGAAAGATTTAGATTGTTGGTTAACCATTAATTTAGTTTCATTTACAGTTCGATGGTTGAAGTGGAGGAATGCATCGGGCTTGTCGTGTGATAGAAAAGTACCCCTCAAACTTAAGGAAAAATCCTATAAGATGGTAGTGAGGCCTGCAATGCTTTATGGTGCTGAATGTTGGCCATTAAAAGAGAAGCATAATACTAAGTTAAGTGTGGCAGAGATGAGGATGCTCAGGTGGATGAGTGGATTTACCCTTGGAGATAGGATACGAAATGAGCATATACGTGAAAAGGTTGGAGTAGCTCCAGTAGAAGATAAGATTAGAGAGAGTCGCCTTAGATAGTTTGGTCACATAAAACGGCGGCCTTCCAATGACCCGGTTAGGAGAGTAGAGGTATTAGATTTGACTTATGTTAAGAAAGGTAGAGGCAGACCTAAAAAGACTTGGTTAGAAAATATAGGAATGACCTTTCTTTATTAGATTTAAACGAGAATTTGACCTTTAATAGGACAACGGAGAAAAATGATTCATGTTGCCGACCCCACATAGTGGGATAAAGGCTTGATGTTGTTGTTGTTGTTGTTTGTTGGAATTAAAAAAAAAATGATTTCAACTTGATACAATGCCTAAATTAATGTCAGAATAAAAGCGAGACGTGATTTTAATGATTTTTGGAGCAGAAGAATTAACGATCAAGTGCTTATCAAACAATCAAATGATTCATTTCCATGTTCAATCGATATCTTTACTTGATGATAATTCCAAAAAAAAAAAAGGAACCAGCAGATAATGTCATGGAAGAGATGGGTGCGAAGAAGAAACAATATGAAGACAAAGTTATGAAAATTATTCCGACTCAAATCCTTCTACATCATTCAATTAAAATTCATCTGCAAGCGAGCAAGATGAGGATGTTATAAATGATTTGAGATATGATTTGGCACAAATATAAAATGAACTTGCTAAGTTAAGAAAAATGGTAAAGAACAACCTTTTGAATTTGAAATACTCTACAAAGAAAAGCAAGTTTAATGAAACAATATCATAATATTATTCAATATATGAGAAATGCCAAGTATCTAGTGCAATCTGCTATTGATGGATATGATACATGCATATTTGCATATGGGCAAGTTAGTTCAGGTTCTTAACTCCAATTTCTAGGAATTGGGCACTATATTTTGGCTAATTCTTAGCCATAATTTAGTGGTGAAAGACCTGTAATAAAAGCATATAAATTCAACTGTGATGTACAATGCGCATTAATAATAATCAGTAGTCATATCAACCATTATATCTTTTGGCATATTAGCATTGAAACAGATATGCATTAAAAGTTTTCATGAATAGTTCATTTGCAGTTACCATTTCTATCTATATATATATTAAAAAAAAAGGGGCACGTTCGCACGTTCACAAAACCGACGTGCACGTCATCGTCGTGGTCGTCGAGGAAATAATCCCTATAAAGCATCAAAAGAAAACGAACAAAAAGGGTTATGCGTACTGGCAATAGGAATTTTCCAAGAAATTCTCTTGCTTAGGTGATCAAACTGCGACCGCACGTCTCCGTCGACCTCCGATCACACGCTCGACATCCAATTTTACAAAAGAATCTACAGCCTCGTTTCGTCTTCCAGTCCATTTTTGCTTGCCGACGTCTCCTCCCGCCACCTGTGGAAATCCCACCTCCGGCACTCCAATCGGCTTCTATGAAGGGAACTTGACCGCTGACGGCACCTCTCGTTCGATCTCTAGTCTTCGTGTTGTAATCAAAGCCGATCCTCGCCTCCCTCTGCAACAAGGCTTGTTCCGATTTCCCTTGCATCTGCGGCTTCTTGTTCGAGAGTCAATCTCACAAACCTCTTAATTTGAAATTAAGGGAGAAAGAGGGCTATAGTCCACTGCTATTATTAATTATGTTATTAATATAATATTACTATATATATAACTATAATTAATATAGTTATTATTAATAATAAGATATTATCAAATCAGATGTTGGCAAGCGACAATAATCGGCGACCAATCTTCGCAATCGACAAACAATAATTGTCTCCAATCAAAGCTTTTGAAGACCAAATCTCCTCACCGTTGATTCGCTCCGGTCGAGTCGAGCCACTTATTACCTCCCGGCGCCGGGGAGGGGATGCCGGGAGGCTGCCGAAATTTCCTTAGAAAATCCAAGACTTAGCTAAAATGCAATCATTCGACAATTTCCGGCAACCAATCATCGCCAGTCAAAACTTATGAAGACCAAATCTCCTCGCCGCTGATTCGCTCCGGTCGAGTCGAGCCACTCCCTTACCTTCCGACGCTGGGGAGAGGACACCGGGAGGCTGCCGAAATTTACTCGAAACTTTTGGACTTATCCAAAATTTTTGGGAAATTCAAAACAAAGCTCTTTTGTTAATTCAATAGGTTAAAAAAAAATCTGTTGAACTTACTGAAAATTTGAGCAGTTATATTCTTTTGGTCGAATTAAAAATTTGATTAAACAATCGAAATTGATTTAAATTAAAAATCTTTTATTAAGTCAAGTAAAGAATTTTAATTAATTTGAAACTTTAATGTAACTAATTGAGAACATAAAATTTAATAAGTTAAAGTTTAATACCAGAAACTTAACTTAATTAAACAAAAAAAAAAATATTTAGACAATCTTCCACCTAAAATAAAATTGAACTATAGATAATTTAACTGATCAAAGGGTGGAAAATAGTCAATAAAATCAGGACATGAGAAGTGCTAACAAATAACTAGATTGTTGCTGCCAATCAACCATAGCATTTGAAACCTGAACACTTAATCTATGACTTTGAAAATATAAAAATGCTGTCAACAAGGCTTGTTAAATAAGCATTTTTGAGAAAATTATCCAATGTGATCTACGTTTAAAATCTTTAAGTTTGCAGCCAGATATCATTTTTGGAATCTTCCTGCTTTGAACCCCCCTCGTGCTTGGAAGATAAAAATGAATCTAAATGCCTTTGATTTGATAAGCTGAATGAGAATCATGAATCCTCTGCTGAATTTCATGATCCTAAACAACTCTGTGCTAAGAGTGGAGCAAGCAATACTATTGAGGCAGGTCTAGATCTTTCAGCCAGACAAATGAATTTCCCTGACTCAGGTATTTATAGAGAAAACACATCATTAAGCAATCAACCTGTGCAGTTGGAACAGCTTAAAGTACCAAAACTTAAAGCTTCCATGTCGAAAGATGATTTGGTGAGCCATTTAGAAAACTGCATTTCTGAACAAACAGCTTCAGGCAACCCAGTCTTCTTAGTCGATTGCTTGCTAAACAAAGAAACATTAGAGGAATGGGCTGATTATTTTCTCACAGATTCTCAAAGTTTCTTTTTTGATTATGATGAAAAATCTCTCATATCAAAAGTAAACTCGTTAAACCGACTTCTTCAGAAGGATCCTTAGAATGAGAACCTGCAGTTAGTTTCCATTGCAGGCATCACTTGATGCAATATATATATATATATATATATATATATATATGGTGAAATAGAGTTGGTGTATCAAATGAGTGAGGAATCCAAATAAGAGTAAATCATACAGCATAAAGCAATATGAATATATAATGAGATGCATTCAACAATCAGGTTGGGTATGAGCAGACTTCATACTTTTAATCCTGGCCCTAGCCCTGCTTACTCAGTCCAAAGTCTTTAACCAGACGAGCCCCATCAACTTACATGGACGAGAATTGACGCTTGACATAGAGTTTAATTTGACGTGCAGGACTGTTTCTCAACAACAGTCATGAAGAAGCATGATTATGTAGATTTTCTCAAGCCAAGCCGGGATTACTGAGAATTAAATCAAGCAGTTCTCAAACACAATTGTTCTCCGAACAACTCTAGTAGCTCTCAAACGATGAGCAAATCTCTCCAACAAGGAAAAGCCTTTAAAAATAATAATAATAAAAATAATAAAAATATGGCACCACCAGAGATAAAGTTACTCAAACATTTACTAAACATAGTTGATCCTGAAGAACAATTTTAAGCTCTATCTACTTCTTTCTCTCCTGGAGATGAATATGAAATGAAAGATACCAATGTTGTATGCACGAAACCTAAGGAGTTACATAAATGGATTAAATTGATGTTAGATGTCTATTATCTGAACAAGATGAAAACTGACTTGATAGAAGCTCGGCGAATGAGTAATCCCATAGTAAGTCAGAAACTCTTTATTCTAAAAGAGACGATAAAGTATGAATACTTGAAAGAGTATAAAAATAACAAAATAAAATACATGCTACTATAGCAAAAAGAGAACTAGATGTACAAAACCAATAACTAAGCACACTACTGAAAGTCTGGGTAGGAAAACAAACTACTACAAGTAGGTGCCAAAACTAAAGGTTAATGTCAAAACTAACAAACGAATTACAAATTCCATAAATGGGCATCTTAGCCTATAGGACTAAGTTATAAGACCCGCCATTTGGGCTACTGCTAAGCGAAGCAGTAAGACCCGCTTGTTAGGGAACTTTTAAAACGAACGACCCTAAAACCAAAACTCAAATCCTTAATTGGGCATCTTAGCCTATAGGACTAAGTTGTAAGACCCGTTATTAGGGCTACTTCTAAGTGAAGCAGTAAGGCCTGTATGTTAGGGAAGTTCTAAGTGAACAAACCTAAACCCAAAACTCAAATAAATTAATGGGCCACCTCTAATAGAGGCCGTAAATCCCACTATCAGGGCCACTTTCAAATGAAAGCCATAAGCCCCTATCCAAATCAAATCATACGGGCAACTCCTAATTGGAGCCATAAGCCCTAAACTAAACAAATTAACGAGCAACTTCTAAGGAAGCCATAAACCCCAATCCAAACTAAATTAAACTAAACTAAAATTCACACATCTCCACTTCAGTCTATTCGGGATCCCTGAGAGGAGGCAACCCATGGCTGCTAATCAGATTCCCTGTACACTACAACCAATGGTTGTTAGTGTTGGTAGACTGAACCCACGGTATGCCCGGGATGACGGAACCATGGGATCTTGATCGGGTGTACCTTCATCTCCCCATAACTAAATTTAAATCACTATTGCACATTCTCACACTTCTTGTATTAAGCTAAGTGTATTTCATCCTTAATCGAGAGTGTTCTTCTAATGCGTTAGGAGGGGTAATTAACTATGAGGGCTTGCGCTCATAGGAAGTAGAACCTAGATCTAAATAAACCCTGACACTACTCTCAGGGGAAATCTGGTTAATTATTAAACTCATTCTACCTCCGGAAAAAAATTAAAAAGGACCCATAAGTTCGTGAGAGCGGGGTTCGCATCTTTTTAAAATTAAGATGATTTTTCTGGAGCGAACATTGTTGTACAGATCAATCTCCTGCCAAGGCTTGCCAATTTAGTTTCATTAACAGATCAATCTCCTGCCAAGGCTTATCCCTTTTGCATCCTCTTGAGCATTTTCACTAATGGCATCTGAATACTTCCACAGTGTTGTATTTTCAGCATTCTCATTATGTTATATTTACACATGATTAGGGGACATACAATATCATGCAAATAGTCTTAGTGCATCTGAAGAAAAAAAAAGGGAAAAAAGGTGAAAAAAAAAGTCCGACACTTGCTATCATATTAGAAGTACTCTTGTGAATTGAGACAAATGATAGGTAGGATGCAAATGTATGGAAGAAGGTGATAAATGATCAAATGATATATATTAGTGAATGGAATGAGCAACAGCATACCTTTTACCTTTCAGTAGGGCATCTATACGTAAATGTAGATTAGAGAGCTCATCCGCGGATGGATGCGGATGGATGCTCAGTCGGATTTGACAATGTGGTTGGAGGTTATGTTGTATGGAGGTCATTGAGAAGAAATCCGTATAGGAATAGGAGTTGGTATGCTAAAGGAAGAGGAATATGCGGTGAAGATGATTCATAGCTAGATGATTTAGAAAAGAAATGTGTAGTCTCATGAAATATTTACATCAGCTGAAGTATAAAGATGACAAGTAAGAGGATTATAGCACCTATACTTTTTTTAAGTGCAAAAATATCCGAGAAAAATGCATCAAATAGCATGAGAAGAGAGTTTCTCATGTGAATGAAAAGCATTACCGAGAAAAATACATTGAATAGCTTGCAGAGAGATTTTTCCATGTGAGCGAAACCATGAATAATATAAATATATGCAAAAATTCTAGGTGTAAGGGAAAAAATAGTTTGATCGTGATATAAAACGAAGATGGGTGATACATCATCTATAAGAGGGGAAGAGATACATTGTATATTTGTATGAGATAAGAGGCTGTCAAGATTGCATCCCTTCAAAACCAATGAGGGATATTCATATGAATTTTCAACGACCTTGCAATGCAAGAAGATGTTAGTGTTTGTGTTCAACAACACTATCTTATTGAGATGTCTTGCGACAAAAAGTTCGATGAATAATATCACTAGTTGAGCATAAGGTGTGAAATTGATTGTATGAGCATTATCAATGTGTAGAATTTTGATTAAGGTGGAAATTGAACTTTTATTTCTTAATGAAAACTTTGAAATACATGAGGTACCTCTAATCAGCATTTGAGTAGGAAACTGAAGTGATTTGCAAACAATGATCAATGAAGTGACTACACAAAATCCAAAGTGGGTTGGGGCATCTGTAGGACCCTAAATATTTGAGTGAATTAACTCAAAATGAGGAGATCAGCTATTGTTAGAGTTTTCACGATCTTTTAGGTGAGCGAGCAAATATGACACTTGAGAAAGTGTGCAAGTGAGTGTTAAGAGCGAGCTTGTGCGGGAGAGCTTAAGTGCTCTATCAATCATATGTGGCAGAATGTGGCAAGCGCGGGATTATCATGCAACGAGCCGACATGGATATAAAGAGTGCAAGCATGCAATAAATAAATGCAAACATAGAGAGCGCGGTCGTGCAGGTGGAGCATGCATGAGCATGCAATAGGCACGGAGATAGTGAGGAGATCTAGCAAGCAAATGAGGTCAATGGAGGAGAGCAATGCCACGAGTGAGTTAGGAAGGCAATGACTAGTGTTGGTAGCGAGAAGGGAGGTTAGAAATGAGAGAGTGGGGTGGGGCTTGACTCTAAGTCTCTAATATTGTGTTATAGGAGAAGATTCTGTCTATTATTGAATTAAGGTCCTCTGATGATGTTCTAGGGTGCTCCCATATTTAAATAAACTACTCAAAACTTTCTTATGTAGTTTTGGGGGCCAACTTTATTATGATGAGCCAGTACTAATACTTTCCAGCCTTCTTTCTAGCGTACAAATACAGTTCTCTAAATAGAGCTTCATGCAACTATTTTATACCCTTATTTATTTATTTATATATTTGCGATCTTCTAGTAGATAAAATGTTAGTCCTAGCAAGATCTATAGCTGTAGCAATGGGTGTGATTATTCAATTTCTTTTTGACATATTGAAGAAATTATTTAGTTAACTGTTCCAACATGCGTAGGATGTATTGTTCTGCTCTCTGCTGCTAATTAACATTTAATTGACAGATGATACCTCTCCAGCTCAAGCATTCCAAGGTAGGACGAATCAGCAGAAGGGAAATTGTCCAGTTTGTCGTAAGGTGTTTGATGCTAAGGATATTGAACATGTTCTTGAATATCTTGCGGCAAACTCATATGTCATGGTATGAACACTCTCTTCACTTCTGTATAAATTGTTTGAAGCATCCTTGCCACGAAATATTCTTCCTGAAACAGTTTAGTAGTTAATTATTTTTGTTTGGTTACTGCATATTACAGCATTCAAGCATAGAAGTTATACAACCCTTTTTCATGCCTTTTTTTACCCGAAATATAAATTACACAATAGTTCTATAGACATAGGATACAAAATTATCTTGAAAAAAGATAGAGAAGTAGATAAAAAAAGGAAAGACTTGAAGTGTAAGAAACATGAAAAAATAAGTAAACCTCAAGTTTGAATGAGGAGGGAACCTCTTCTATCAACATTTCATGTTTCACACCTAATTAAGGATCAAAATCTCAAAATAGATGAAGAAGAAGAGTCTCCATACCACAATAAGAAATTTCATTAATGTCATTAACGATCCTACTTGGTTGATAATTCTTATATTTAATGATAAAAGAGTTAACAAACTCCAAATAATGGCTAACAAATTTAATATCGTTGACTGGAATAACCTTAACAAAATAATCGTATCTACAAGAAAAAAAAATTACTAAAAAATAATTATGACAAAATTAAAAGTAGAATTTTTTCCCACATTAATTCCTCCGACTTCAAAGTACACTACTCTAGATAATGGTAATGGTAATTTGTTCAAAGCAAACACTTTATCTAACTGTGGATCCTCAATGTTGGATAGTGATTCCAACAGACTAGAAGATGACATCGTGAAAGTACACTAGCCTGCTCATCCGGATGTGTGGATGAAAGAAATGATGTCAGTGCTACTCTCGGCATGAATAAAATCTTCTTTGAAAACATCAATACAAAATGCAAGAGGCTTGAAATTCCTCAATATAGAAAGTTAGATTAATAATTATGTTTATTGACAAAACAATTGAAAAATGAGATTCCAAAAATTTAATAATGCAATAGAACTATAGGTTATGTTAAAGTAGGAGTGCAAAAACTGTGTAGATTTGATTATACAAAGATATATTGTCTTTCATTTTGACCCCAATCGCTGCATCAAACAATCATGACAACAAATGAACTTTTTATTTTATCCTGGGCGGCGCTTTGTCTAAGGGTTCGTTTGGGACGACTTTCTTTCTGTTTCTTAAAGCAGCTTTTTAGTATAAAATTTTTAATTTTTGTACTAAAAAGCTATTTTATGAAACAGTAAAAAAGCCGTCTCAAACGAAGCCTAAATCTTGTGCAGAATACAGTCCACACATTTTCTATTCAATCACATGACAATCATTGTTCTGCTTCTTCAGAATCCCATAGAAGCAGTGATTGATGAGGAAGATAAAGCTGTTCTATTCTCTGAGTTTCAGAACAACAGAAGACAAAAGTTTGATTCCATTGTAAAACTTCAGCAGGAAAAGAAGGGTCTTATTGAACCCAGAAAAGACCTCATAATAATGCCTGGAATGTTTTTACCTGAATCTGTTGAGCCTGCAACAACATCAGCAGAAGAAAAACTTGAAGAATGTAGTGATCAAGCTCGCAACCATGGCTTGTATTTGAATGGAGACGTCTCCATGAAAGCTACTGCAAGTAAGCCCAATAACTCAAACAGAAGAAGGAAGGGGAGTTTCAAAGGTAAAATTAGTACAGAATCCAGCAGAAAACAATGGGTCGTGAAACCAATTAATACTTCAAAACAATAACAGCTGGGTGGATGCCGAAAATACCAAGGTTTTTCTTTCTTATTTTTTTCCTTTGGAGCGTTCGGATAAGTGCGGGGGAATAATTTTTTCAACAGCAAGCAAGATTTATCAATCTTGTGCAGTGCTGTGATGATTCAAAAATGAATACCCAATTTCAGTTTGAATGGAACTTAATTTGAGCCAGAGTGATATTTTTTTAAAAGGTATATATAGGCGTTTTGATTGTTGTATTTATATTTTTCATTTATATATGGATTTAGAATGTCTTTAATGATAAAAAAATTGAATAGAAATTTGGTTCATATTGAATTTAATGTGGCAAGCAGGAGAAATTATTATGTGCAGAGATCAGATGCAGAATGTCATTTTGAGATCAATCAGAATGTGTCACGTCAGCGGTACCGAGTAGTATCGAGCCGCGGTACTGAGCGAATGGGTGATGTGGCGCATTCTGGTTGTTCTTCGGATGACATTCGGCATCCGCACAATAGTTAATTGACAAGCAGGGATCATATCAAGATCAGGTCAACTCAATGTGGCTTGTATTGAGTCAATATATATTGATATGCCTTGTTCGACTTTTGATTCGGTCAAATAGCTTTGAATATATTTAAAATTGGGAATGGATTGATTTGAGATTGGATTGTTAAATGGTGTTTTTGAAATCACTTTGGTTTATGTATTTGTTCATATTTTTGTTTTTAAAATTATATTTGTATTGTATGTTTTATAATTATTTATTATTTCTTTTTTAAATAAATTAAGCTGATTTTAAAACTTTACATAATTTTAAGATGTGAATATTTTAAAAATAATTATCCCCGTTAGCTTCTACCAACTATCATTATAAGATGTCAATATTTAGTAAAATAAAAACATATTTAAGATATTAATATTAAAACAAAAATAAAATAAATAAAATAAAAATGATCTCATACGGCCACTAAGATTTTGCTAGCTGACTCCATCTTTTCCTTATCCTCATTATCATGAACAATTATTAGGTCAGGTGACCTGATGTAGCTCTACGTTCGGACGTCAATAACATGTCGCCACGTGCTCTTACTATTTACCGCACGGGCCGACGACTTACCCGGAATTGCTATGTTCACGTATTGCTCGGTATTGCTCTAGGTATTGCTCAGTATTGCTAGTTATTGCTTGACAATAATGAAATATATCGCTCTGTGAAGACCAATACCGAGAAATGTCGAGCAATACCGAGCAATGCCGAGAAAAATTCGGTATTTCCCGGTATTGCTCGGTATTACTCGGTATTGCTCGGTATTGGCCTTCACAGAATGGTATTTCTTATTATTACCGAGCAAGATCGATCAATACTGAGCAATACATAGCAATACGCGAACATAGCAATCCCGGCTCCGTTTCGGGTCGGGGTTATTGGGCCGCGCGGTAAATAGTGAGAACACATGGCACTATTTTACTGGCGTCCGAACGTAGAGCTACGTCAGGTGACCGGACCAAATAAAAGTTCCATTATCATTAACGATAAAATAATGTGCAGCAGATGCATTAGATTTCGTCGTTTTTATAGTTCTCAAATGAGCATATAATGAATCAAAACTAACAATTTTTTTATCGAATGCTTCTAAAATGTTCCTGATAATGGTCAACCAATTCACTTTGAGCGTCTAGGTTAATTCTACCATAATGTTTTTTTAAAATTATTTTGGCTTTCAACAAATCTTGTTCATCTAGTGGATTGAATGGCCAAAATTAGTAGTTGCATTTTGAAATGTGATAATTGACGCAACTCATTTTGATCTATTATTTAGAAATTTTAACTATCAATTAAAAAGTCTTAAAAAGTCTTAAATTCGAATCTTTATATAATGTTCTTATAATTTTGATTTAATTGGCTTAATTTTCAACTAGAGTTTATTGATGGGGCAATCAGTCTATGGCATCCAAAGATTTCAAAATTAACATGTAGCTTTTATCTATCATGATTGAAATTACATCAATATATTATGTTTGATATTTAGTTGAAACCTGTACTTAAAAATCAAGCATTCAGGACTAGCAAAAAGGCCTTATTTGTTTCCTTGAAATTCAAATTCAAGTTTTACAACTCTGATTCTATTAAATTCCTGAAACCAATGAGCTTGAACTAATCCCCACAAAAAACTTTAAAATCTACTTAAAAAATTGATTTTTACACATTCAAGCCTTTTTTTTTTTTTGAGAATATAAAGATATTTTCTTATATATTTTGGAGAATGTTTTTTAATCGAATTTTATGTCTGAAAATTCATGAAATAGTAAGGATGCATACTTTGGGAGAGAATATTAGAACAAACTTAAACAAAAAATACAGACCGAAGCATTCTACATATATTTCAGCAGATTTTACTCTTGTTAAAGATGTCACAGCAGATTTTACAGTGACAAAAAAGGACTTCTTACATAAGATCTATTTAAAAAAAAAATCCAAATTTAACATAAAACTGCCTCTATTTACAATAATACCACTGAAATATCAAAAAGTACAATAAATCACAATGTGTGGACACCGGATGCCAATCATAACATGTCACGACACTTTTTTGCTCGATATCAAAGCTGGATACCGGATGACATGACGCGTTCTGATCGACCTCCAGACCGTCCGGTGTTCACACAATTTATCATAAATCACCAACAAGTGTTTTACTTCCGTTGAATTCTACATGATTATATAGTAACACACTCAAATACCAAGATTCAATAATTAATTTTAAAAATCTAGATTATAGTTCTGTAAATAAAAAAAAAATGTCCAGTTATAAGTGAGTAAATCTCTCAAAAAATGAAACGCAATAAGAAACACATAAAATTCTACTAATTACATCCGAAGATTAGTCGGGGGAACAAAAAAAAAAAGGCCTGTTGACACTTCCTCTATACATTACACAAACAGGAAAATTCTTCTTTTTTTCAGGATAGGCAAATTTTTTTTTCTTGTGTGGGGATGGGTAAAAACTCTTAAGATTGATAAAATTATGACAAAAATATTTTTGATGGGGCAAAATATCCAAAATATTTCAAAATATCCCCTCTAAATATTTTTTTTTTTGCCCACCCTGAGTACATGGGGGATCCGCCCACGTCTCAATCCAATATTACAATCTCAGCTCGGGAAGAAGCCCTTCGAAACCGCATGATCTCTTTGTAAACCTTGATTTCGTCGGGGGCTTCACCGTCTAGCTTTATAAAAAGCGATTCAAGCCTAGAAGCACCAGAAAGTATAAATTCTATGAACTCCACTTCAGCACGCACGCCCACAAGCTCAGCTAGCCTCACAGTTCGAATCTGTTCTAAACAAAAACTACCACTTTCCTTCTTATCAAAAAAGCTTGAGGTGGGTATGGTGGCAATGGACTCATCCGAGTCAGCCTGCAGCAGATGATTATAAACAAGTTAGATGTTTGTGAATCATTTCATACATATATTTGATAAATTAGGTTTCGTTTGGGACAACTTCTTTATTGCTTTCGAAAACAGCTTTTTAATACAAAATTTTCTAATTCAAAAATTTTTTATACTACAAAGCTGTTTCAGAAAGCAACGCGAAAGCTGTCCCAAACGAAACATTAATGCATATGTGATGGCATATGATTCTCTAATATATACAGAACTTCATGTAGATTTCATATCCACAAATAGCTCATGAACGGCTTGATAAGCAAATGGGTGATAATTTGGGTTAGTTTGCTAAATTGAAGGCGTTGAACACTTGAGCTTACTCAATATCAGCTCGCTTACACTCCTGGTTCCAGCTAAGTTCATATTCTTGTTGGCAATAGGCTCAATTGCACAGTAGTGTAATCATAGTAAAATAAGGGCACTTTAAGCATGATTCTTAGAATTCATTTGGGAAAACTTTCGTACTACTTTTTTAAAACGGTTTTCTAGTACAAAAATTTCAAATTCAAAAATTTTTTATAAAAAAAACTATTTTAAAAAGCAAGAAAAAAGACGTCCCAAATGATGCCTTAGTCAGTATAACCTTAACTTTTCATAAATTCATTTAAAACTCATAATAAAATACCTCTATTTCAAGCTCATTGAGCACAGGAGTATTTTGCAGCAATGATTGAAGAACCATGACATGCTTCAGATCTTCAAAATTGAAACAACTTAAGAATACTTTCTTCAAACAATTGTAAATTGGGAACCGCACGAATGCTTGTCCTCTAGTCATGAACTGCCAAAGCAAAGCATTCAAGTAATATATTAGCGATTGAAGGTAGCTGCAAGATAAAAAGAAAGAAAAAAAAAAGGACAAAGGTGAAGTCAGTTACGTCTAGAAAATTTTGCTGCAGCTCCAGCTTCTCAATCTTGAGAATATTAGTTAGACACTTGTTAAAATCGCATTCTTCCTCATTTTCAGTATCTCCATTCTCAAATTCCTCATCTTCATTTTCAAGCTCTTCATCATCATCTTCTAACCCTAAAGATAAGGAAGCCAGATTTGGAGTATTTTCAAGATAGATGTCGGCGAACACCCCCTCAACTACCAATTCCTGAAGCCTGGGAGCATTCAACTTAAGACGACAACAGCAATAGAAATCAATGAAGACTAACTTTCTTAGAAGTGGACATTTGGAAATTAGGGACGCAAAATCGGATTCTGAAATGCTTATATTTTCAAGGAGAAGGATGGTAAGGCAACTGAAACCATTAAAACTACGGGGAAGCTTAAATTCGCAATCATGCAAATCAAGAGATACTATAGCTTGACAGGAGTATAGAGCTGTTGGTAACTTATAGAGGCTGCTTGCACAAAATTTAAGAGCCAGCTCCTTCAAATAGTTTCTGGACAAGAAAACCAGCCATCTGTCTACAGGGGCAACGTCTTTTATGCCAGAATAGGCATCAAAGGCAAATTTGTGAATGGGTCCACTATGAAGTAAGAGAACTTGATCTACAACGTTCTCAAGTTTATACTTTACAGGTAATGAGACGCTTTGCTTGTCAAATATAAGATGAGGAATGGTGCACCACTGATATCTCCATCTGCTTGAAAGAATACTAGTACGGACTGCCTCCGCTATCGGTAAGTACATGAGTATAAGCTCAATAATGTTGCTTGGCAGAGTGCTAATTCTATCTTCCATTTCAAATTTGCACCGCTGCTGAGAACAAGAAAAATCAAACGAGATCAGCATTTTTTTTATATTCATAAAATTTTAAACAAAAGAGGTCTTTCTAAAAAAAAATTAGTTTATCCAACAGCATATGCAGTACTAAAACTATCTAACTCCACTAAAATTCTCCATAGCAGTTGAAGGTAAACTTGAATTATGGAGGTCAACCTTAAAGTCTAAAGGTTTTCGTTAGAGTATATCTAAAACTGAATATATAGAGTATAATTTTAGTAGTAATAGTTCTAGTGGGAGGGTTTGTGACTTTGAGCGATCAAATCATTAATAAAAGTATGCATTTTAGATATCTTGGGTCTATTGTCTAGAGTTATGGTGAAATAAATTGGGATATTATTAGTAGAATTCAAGTCGGATGGATGAAGAGGAATGCATTAGGTTTGTTGTGTGATAGAAAAGCACAAATCAAACTTAAGAGAAAATTCTATAAGATAGTGGTTAGACCTGCAATGCTTTATGGCGCGGAATGTTGGCCATTAAAAGAGAAGCATAATATTAAGTTAAGTGTTGCTGAGATGAGGAGCTTAGGTGGATGAGTGACTTTACTCTTAGAGACAGGATACAAATTGAGAATTATACGTGAAAAGGTTGGAGTAGCTCCAGTAGCATATAAGATTAGAGGGAGTCGTCTTTTGTAGACCCGGTTAGGAGAGTAGATGCATTAGATTTAACAATGCTAAGAAAGGTAGAGGTAGACCTAAAAAAACTTGGTTAGAAAATATTAGAAATGACATTTCTTTATTAGATCTAAATGAGAATTTGGCTCTTATTCGGACACAATGGAGAAAAATGATTCATGTAGCCGACCCCACATAGTAGGATAAAGGCTTGATGTTGTTGTTGTACTAAAATTCTCCATCACATGTAAATCTAATAAAGATAAAAGTCTACACAAAAAGGGCTCAAATGTTATCATCCTCCTTACCTTTCTTTATTAAATTTTTTTTAATATATGCATATGTTACTTTGCTGAAAACAAACCTACTTTACAAAATATTATTTTTAGGGAGATATTTGACTTATTGTGGATCAAGATTGTTATCTTGGTTCTTTTAGCACTCTTAATCTACCTTTGGTTCCATATCAATTTCTCAAGAACATTTTCCAAACTCCACTGAGTTTGTCCATAATCCGTATAATATAACTCGTGCCCACTTCAATTACTCCAAGGTTTAGATTTATGACTTTTTAAGATTTCCTCAGGTAAGCACAAGAAAACAATTATTCCAGACCTGACATAATCGGAAATGCCATTTCAAGCTATGTTAATAATGACACATAAGTTCTGATCTTTTTTTGTACATACAATTTATGGAAACACCACCAAAAAATGATCTTAATCTTCTGATTTATGTTGAAAAGATACAAGAATGCACAAACCAACATTTATATCCCTTGCCCCACTGTGTCACTTATACATTTTTCATCATTCCATAGGAATTTTATTAATAGTTTAAATACTATTTTTTGTACCAAACACTATCTTCAGCATTATCAAGATAGGAATGGAGAAATGCTATGAGAGAGAAAATAGACGAATTAGAAACAAACAAACTATAAGGGATTTTTCAATAATCCTAAGGAATATAGTAGGTGGCAAATGAGCTTTCACTTTAAAATATAAGATGGGTACCTATTATAAAGCTAGATTGGTTACTAAGACATAAACAGAAGCAAGTAGCTTATACTACTTTCATCAAACATTCGGACACAGGGGATTGACAACCCACCTAGTATATATTGATGATATCATTATTATATGAAATGATAAGAAAGAGATGCAAATCTGAAACAGTGTTTGCTAAAAGAATTTGAGATGAAGGAACTTGGAAATTCAAGTATTTTCTTGAAATTGAAGCCACATAATCAAGATAGTGAATTTTTTATCTCACAATAAAACTCTATAACAAACCTCTTGAATGAATTCGGAAGGCTCAATAGCAAACATGTTGCTACACCTATTGAGACAAATCAAAAATTTGGGCAACTAATAAAGCCAATCGTGAATAAGGTGATGCATCAGAGATTAGAAGGAAAACTTATCTATCTTGCTCATACTCGCCAGACAGCATATTCAATAAGAATGATTAGCAATACATGCATGATTTGATAAAGACACACCAACAAGCTGCCTACTATGAGCTACACGAACAAAAACTTGAGAAAAAAGAGTTCTATCAAAAGAAAAAAATGAACTCTCATTGGAAGCTAACAAAAACGTATATTATGCCGGTTCAAAAGTGGATAAGTTACTGCACTTGGTGGAATTTTGATAACATGGCAAAATCAGAATTCTGAGCTATAAAAAAGAAAATGTGAATTATTGTTGTTGAAGATCAACCTAGATGAGTTAAGAATCAAGTGGGAAGGTCCTATAAAACTATATTGCGGCACTAAGTGAGCAATAAACATTGCTTACAAACAAATACAAAATGACTGAACGAAGCATATCAAGATTAATAAACATTTCAACAAAAAAAAAAAAGCTAAAAGAGCGTATGCCTTATATACATTCAAAGAGTCAACAAGTAGATATTTTTAATAACGGACTTGACGATGGAATCTTTCATGAAATCTAAATTGAGCTAGCATATTGGAATGCATAGGTGTTTTAAAAAATAAATCAACATGTATATATTTAATTAGGAAAGTTATTATTTTACTAGAAAAAATGATCAAAATAATCCCTAAACTATTAATTGAGAGACCATTTTAGTCTCAGATTATATAAATATCCAACTTAATCAATTGACTCTTCAAATATGATCCAAAATAGTCCCACAATTAAAATTGCTATTTAATTTCATGAAAATTTGATGGAAAACTAGAAAGATCTAAACCCAATGGAGAACACAAAAGAAAGTAGGACACGTCTCAATCCAAAACTTAGTAATCAAATCACCAAATAAACATGAAACAAACTGAAATTGTTTATTTAGAAGAAAGAAAAAAAAAACCCTCAGAACAACCAACTAGTGGTCACCTCACATGTAACGATAAATTAGGTAAATAGAATGATCAAGGAGATGCAAACCAGTGGTCCACCACAACAACTTTGATCCAATGTTTGCCACAACTTCAGCAAATACCAACAAAACTGACCAACCAACACCACTCACACTTTTAGAAGAAGGATACAATGTGGTGGAAACTTGTGGAGAGAAGAACTAGATAGAAAACTTGGATGAAGAACTAAGTAGAGAAGAAGTAGCTCTCAAGCTAGAGAATAAACCCTCAGGTTTTAGAATACTTTTCACCTCCCAAAACTCCCTACAACATCCCAAAACACCTCATTAAGTAGGAAAGAAAAGGAGGCCAACAGCCGCCCATACAGCCAACCAAAAAAGGGGAAGAAAAATGCAGCAATTAAGGCCAACAGAAGCCCACCCGAACAACTAGGGAATCGGGAAAGCCAGGGAACAATAACAGGACCCGAACAGCCAAGGACAAGGGAATTAGGAAAGCCAGGGAACAACAACAGGACACGAACAGCCAAGCCAAGGAACTCGGGAAAGCCACAGAAATCGAACAGCCAGCCAGCAGCCAGCAGCCAGCAGCCATCCGCCCCCCCATCAAACCCAAATCAGCCCAAACACAAAGCACCCAAAGAAGCTAGCACACCAAAGGAATAACATGTCCAATGAGATAACATGTCCAATGAGCACCTAAACCACACATGTTCATTAGTTGCCTTCCATCATTTGGTAAACAAAAATTCAACTAAAAAATTACAATAACATAAAATAAAAGTATCTTAAAACATGAGCATGAAGTATTGAATCCATAAAAAATCTTTGCAAAGTTCAAGAATTGGGGAATGACAATATTTTTTAAATATGATGTTTCAATACATCTTGGTTTATGTAAAATTAAACAACGATTCTAGCTGAAAAAATATTTTGCAACATATTTGACAAGCAAAGGAATTAAATTGGACACTTTAAATAGTATAAGACCAAAATGGCCCCTCACAAATAGTGCAGGGACCAATTTGACCATTATCACCACTTAGTTAAGAAAGTTAATTTTAGTCCCTTGAATCATGTTATTTATTGCAATATCCTTTTCCTGTTTTTGTTTAAACAAGTTTCCTTTTTGGCTAGAATACTATATATATATATATATATATATATATATATATATTGAATGTCAATTACATAGAATCAATGAGAAATCATCTATTCTTGGATTCATTTCTCATTATTCTTCAATGGTTTTCATTATCAGTATGAAAGTCTAGTTGTGTTTAACAACATTTACTATAATCTCGGTTTCTATTGAGTGCGTGAATTCTAATCATATATGTGACTTTCTTGATCCTTATTCACGCCGATAATTTATCATTCTATATTAAATTATCATCATCTTAGTAATTAATTTGTTGCTACAATCTGGGTTTATATTAAGTGTGTAAATTTTAATAGCAACCATAGATTTTTTCATACATATTCTCATTGTTAATTTCTAATATAAGGTCAACAGACTTTCATTTGAATTTTCATTGTGATTTTGATTCTCAACAAAGTAGTTGTTAGTTGTTTTAGATTAATAGCTTTTTGCATACATATTTGATAATTAATAGTTTTTTTAATTCTATCATGCTTATGCTGCTCATCAATTTAGTCATTCGTTGTTTTGGATTAATATTTATTTACCTACAAATTTGGATTATTTATTTCATGTATATTTAGTTTTTAGATTTACATTAAACCCTAGACCTTATGACGTTCTATATGATGAAATTTTAGGAATATTATGTGATTTATCGAAGCCATTATCATTTTACAGTTGAAGCTTACACTCTTTTTATTGCTTTCCCTCATAGTATTTGAATTAATTTGTCACCTCCAAATCTCCAATAGGTTGATGAATAACTTAAATAGAAATAGATATCATTAAATAAAGTACGTTTCACATCAAAAAGAAAAATAAACCAATACAGCTAAAATAATCTTAAGGAAAAAGTGATTAATGATTTGCAAACTCTGGAGTTCTCCAATGAAGTTGAATAAAAGAACAAAATTCAATCTAGAAACAAATGTCAAAATCAACCCAAACATCAACTAACAATGTGAAAAAAAATATCATGATGGAAAAGAATCATGAGTTATATCGATACATCAATTCGAAATAACAACAGGCTGTGATGGCTCAAGTTTCACAAATAGTCTTTAGGAAAAAGCTCATGCACGTGGAATGGCATAAAATGGTAAAGATAGAGTTATTCACCATAGCAACATATTCATTCAAATGATATTGGTGACTGATAGATCGATGATTCTGCACTAATAGCAATCTCATTGTTCTGTAAGATGAAGAAAATTGTTAAATAAGGACATTCTACACATGATCAACGAACGATATAATAACATGCAGCTAACTAATAGGATATAATGACCTCTAAGATGCTGCAATAAAACAAACATAAGGGCACATTTGGACTCATTTTAATTCTTCCTTTTTTTTTTAAATCAGATTCTTAGGCGGAGAAAACATGTTTAGCAACATGCTTTCATTTCATGTTTTTGGAAACAAAATGACCAGCTTTCTAAAATTATGAAAACACTCTGAAAGCATGACTGGATGACTACTTTCATTACTTTGATTAATTAGGTTATTGACATTAATTAGGGAAACTCCGGTAAAATAATGTCCAACTAAGGTCATTAAGAATATAATGATGAATAAATATAATAACTAGAACTTGATTAATTAATTAATTAATCAAAAAATTCTTATTATTCAGTTATTAAGGATAACTAGATATTAATCAGGGTTTAATTAAAATCATTATTTTTAATTACAATACATAGGTTTGAATGATAAATTTCTTGATTAACAAATCGAATGGTAGTTGAATAGTTATGCAGATTGGAAAATACTCATGATTTAATTAAGTTTATTAAGATTTTATTAAATTTAATTTGATAAACAAGCATATGATAATTAATTGATTTATTAATTAATAATAGTAATAGGTAATTAACAAGTCCTTTTTGGTTAACTAAAATTTAATTATGTTTTAAATAAATATACAAATATTTTATCATTATTAATTGAGATTTGTCAACTCATTATAAACTGGTGCAATCAATAATTAACTATTTACTTAAATTAGGGATTAATTAAGTTTTTATTAAGATTAAAAAAATTATGTACATGGGATAATAAGTTAATCAATTAATTACTCCAAATATTAAGTAATTAGCTATTTGGTATGGTTGATTAAAAATAAAATGATTTTAATTAAGATCATTATTAAAGGAAAATTTAAATATTAATTAAACTATACTTTGACTTATTATAGAAATAATTAATTAATATATTAGTTAACCTAATGAATTACTGCTAATCAATGATTATGATAATAGCTTGAATTAATTAAGATTTAAATAATATTTAATAAGGATTATTCATATTGAGATTCATTATAAATTGAATATTTAAATATGATAATAACGCATATTAATTGTGTTTTTTTTGTTTTTTTTGTTTTTAGTCATCAATATGTTTTCAATTCTTGTTCCAGCAAATAGAAAATAAGTAGATCATCCAAACATGTTATCATTTTAAGTGAAAATGAAACAAAACAAATATTAAGAAAAGATAAGCAATTGTACATCCCTCCTTCTTTGGTATCATTGGCAACTACTATAAAAATTATTATTCATTTTTAGGGGTGTCAAAACAGGTATTTGGGTCGGATTCGGGTCCAACCCAAAACTGAAACGCCCTCAATTGCTTCAACCCAAACCCGACCATCCATAAATTTGTGTCAACCCGACCCAACAAAAGGACCCGCACAAGGCGAACATGAGGTGAGCCTGAGGTGGTCCGTCGTTCGTGAGCGCGAGCGTGAGCGCCAGGCGAACGCAAGGCTAGCAAGGCGAGCAAGGCCAGTGGGCGAAGCGATACTAGAGCGCATGCGAGCGGGTGAGGGTGAGAGCGGTAGGCGAGCCGATCCGGACTCGAGGGTGCGTGCGCAACCAACGCGAATGGCGAGCGGGATGGGGACCAAGCTATCAACACAAACTGCGAGCAGTGGGCGATCGGTCCAGGTCGATCCTGACTCGCCTGGCGAGCGGAGGCAGAGCTCGATCTGGACTCGGGTTATTTTCGGGTTTGCAACTGGTTTTCGGGTTAACAAGTTGGGATTTTGAAGCCCGAACCCGACCCGTTTTCCAAACGGGTTGACCTGAACCCATAATTTTTTAGTCGAGTTCGAGTCGGGTCAAATATTGACACCCCTATTCATTTTAAAGGCCAAGGATAAAAAATACAAAAGGAAAAAAATTGCACAATGACACTCAAAAGATCACTATAAAGATCTATCATCTATTATGCGCATCCTTTGTCTGTAACTTCCTTTGCAATGGTGCATACTTCGACCACAAGTATAAAGTATTTGGGATTTAGACACCTGAACCACAATTCTTCCTCAGGAGATGATCTAAAGAACGTTCATAAAGGCTTCCTTATATCGGTACCCTACTAAAAATCTAGTTTAAACATCCTCAGTCAACCAAATGACATTCACTCATTTCAATTAGAAAAAGAAGAGGAAAAAAAATAATAAAAGCTCATATGTTTGTTGAAGTAAAATGTCAAAGCGAAGGATCCAGCCAACTTTATTTTCAAAAAATAATGGGTCCTCGCCTACAAACTCTGATCAGAACTTGAGGGACTTGTGTCATCCTACAAATTGCTTATTCCTGATCTTTTAGAACAAGCAAATCACTTCGCTATCATCAATTCATTCCAGTCTAATCAGAAAATACAAACTATTTTGGACTGGCTTCAAAAATCCATGCTGCATTCATTTTTAAAAAGCTAAAACAGTTTAAATTCTAGCATACTCTCTATTGAACAGTACACTGTTTTAGTACCCTAGCGTAGCTGCCTTCTCTGTTCTCCTTACACGCATGACCAAATCACAACAGTTTATTTTCTATAATAATGTTCTCCATAGACGCCAAAAAACACATTATGATACTACCACCACAGAAAATCACTGTCCATGCTCACAGAATCCAGTCTCTTCTGATTTCAGATTATATATACATATAACAGCACTTGCTTGTGGTTTCGTAGCAGCTCTCATTATGGGTGTCAGTGAGCTGAGCCAACTCATAAGTAGGCTTAAATAGGATGTTAATGAGCTCGCGAGTTGAGCTTAACAAGTCACAAGCTAGAGCATGAGCACATATTACAGTTCATAAATTATATGAGCTGTAATTCAAACTTGAAAAGGCTTTGCTCATCAGCTCTCAAGCCAGCTCATTGGAGCATTGAAGTTAAATTCATAATTCTCATGAACACCTTTTGCAAATGTTAGTGTTCCTACCAATGGCTTCTCTAGCGAGCTCTCGTGGTGACTTCTCCGCTAGTCCCGTCGATGCCTCCCGCAAGTTCTCATTGTGACTTCTCCCGTTGGTCCCATCAATGCAATAACTCGTGAGTTCCCATAGCAAATTCTCCTACTGGTCCAAGTTGATGCAATATCATGTGAGTTCCATCACGACTTCTAACACTAGTCTCGTCCCTCGAGTTCCCATCACGATTTCTCTCAATGCTCCCTTGACGTCCTCTACCCCAAGTTCCCATCGATGTCACCTTCCATGAGGCCACAATTTTCTTGGATGCCATCCACAACAAGATCCCATCAATGGCTTTAAACTCCCATAGCAAGGGTTTCTAGATTTTGGCTTGAGCTAACGAGTTAAGCACGAACCTATTGTTATTTCGTAGAGCTAGGCACCAGCTCAAGTTTGGGACAACCATTAGGTAAGCGAGCAAAGCTCGAGTCAATGGTGGCTCGAGCTTGACTCAATTTGTTTACATCCCTAACTCTAATTTATCCTTGTGTCTTCATTAGTTTACTTTCCATGTTGCAAACTATCAAAAAGAAATCTCAACAAAAGCAAAGTCGAAAATTTTTTATTGAAGAAAAAATCAAGCTAGTATGAACCCTCAAAAGCATGCTCAAGTCCCACCTTTAATGATATCTCCCTCACTTGCCTTTACTTAGAGTAGTTGGAAGCTCAATAAGGATTCCTTAGTTCCCCTTATTTGGATATCACATTAAGACATTGTCAAAATTCAAAGCAACTATGGGACTTATAGCCTGAACATTGCCACGAATCTTGGATACCACACAAAAACACTATTAAAATCTACAAGGAAATATATCCTTGGCACATTTTGGAATCGAAGGACCAGTTAGTTGTCATGGTAATATGATATATGGAAAAGTTCAAGTAGAGGTGCTTTAGAGTTGAAGTGAGTTCGAGCAAAGCCTCCCCCACCTCCTCCTATCAATTAGTTGAAGTGAGTGTTTTTCTAGGGAAGATTAATAAAACCAAAATTTTCCCTAATGCTTTATCTTTTTGAGGTAGCTTTTTCATAGCCTGCTTCTAGAAAGCTATCCGAGTCTTATTTGGAAGAAACTTCCATGCCACATTTCAAAGAATTCTAGGATGAAAGTAGCTTTTTATAATTAGATTTATCGAAGTTTAGTAGTTGCAAGAAATTTGATGTATGACTTTTTCAAAAGGGAAAAAGTTTGTAATACATACAGTAAATTTCAAAAAATATATTTTTTCATAATATCATAAAACTACTTTTATAGGTAGCTACAGCTGCCCTGAACAAACCCATAAAGAAATGCTTATCATACTCTCTCGATAGGGCCATCGAAGCACCCATCTCTATTGCCACTTAAAATATATTAGATTTTCCTTTAAATTATTAAAAAAGATTAAAAAAAGAAATACAACTAAACAAAGAGAAGGCAGCCTCATGATTTAATTAGTGGGTATAATGAGCATTTATCAATATTTTAAATTTCATTCATTTTTGAGTTGAAACTTTCTATGGGGGCTTGTTCCCATAATAAATCTTCTCTCATTTAAGAGGCAAGTGGCACCTTGGCACATTGCTTCATGCATCGAGAATACAGCAAAATCTATGAAGATCTTACATGACTTAGTTGCCCATGGTATTATCTGATGGAAACAAGTCCAAAGATTCAGAAAGCTTATGATGTAATTTTCTAGTTTTAAGCCAAGGAGCTATTATTTTTGCTATGGGCATTCCACCATGGAACTTATTGAATATAAATACTAAGTTATTAAGCCAATAATGAACTTCAGCTTGAGTCAAGGAACCTGAACTGAGATTGTTAAGTATCTTAAAGAAACCAAAGTTTACCTGAATAGACATAGTTCCCTAAGGAATAAGGATGGAAGCCCTGATGGTGAAAGTTGAACCTAGCAATCGATCACCTCCTAGGCTGAAAGTAGAAGT